AGCCACATTGTCTTCCCGACCTTAAGAGGTCCAACAATGGTGATTTGTTCGTTTATTCACCAAATTGAGTCAAACAAGTCTTAAATTACTCCCAAAGCAATATATAAACATAATTAAGCAATTTCATTGCATAAAATTTGACAAACAAAGTGAATTAAGCAATTCAAGTTTCGAATTTTCAAGAAATTCGTGAACAAATATGTGCGAAATGCATTAAAACATGAGTGAGTTTGGAGAAAACTTACATAGATCGGGAAAATGGATGGAATAAGCTTTGATTTGTAACAAATTTGAGCAAATTCGGTTGAGAAACGAGCAAGAACGGATGAATTGAAGTTCTGGGCGATTTCTCGAGCAAAAAATGAGCAACAGCAGCGGAAATGAAGAAGAAAGGGGTATATATGGAAAAACCGACTCTAGCGCCAAGCGACAGGCCATGGCGCCAGACGATAAGGCTTAGCGCTTGGCGCTAGCACCAGCGTCTGGCGCAAGAGCCAAATATGCGGCGTCAGCAATATTTCAACGGCGACAGACTGTTCAGCCACTCAGTGCGATTATTTCGACCTCTTGCAATATATTTTGGGTTCCTTGGTACGCCAGTTAGCCCCTCTAAGCAATTTGACATGATTTAGTAATTGGCTCGATTACAATTACATAAAGTGATCGACCTGATGAATGATCATCTCACTTAGCTTAAAGCGCCTAAGCATTGGCTCATCAAAAGGCACCGACATACTAGTTCATACAGCAAAAGGCACCGATATACTGGTTCATAAAAATTCAGAAGGCACCGACATATAGGTTCAAAAGAAACAAAAGCGTCGATGTACAGGCATAGCGGAAGCAAAGTTCAAGCGAGCTTTTAAAGATCGACAAGCGTGGGTCTTCGGTAATTTTTCCTCGGAATATTATCGCAACAAGTGAGGATAGCTTCAGGCGAGGATATCTTCGGCAGCGTTCCCTAGCTTGCGGAGGGTTGTCACAAACAACTGGAGGTGATTTCAAGCTAAGTTGTCTTCGATCGTGTTCCCTGGCTTGCGGAAGATGATCACAAAGTGCTAGAAGGTCGTTTCAAGCGAAGCAATCTTCGATGGGGTTCTCTAGCAAGCGTAGTAGTCTTCAGGCGGCATTCTCTAGCTTGCAAGAGGTCGTTAAAAATATTCAAATACAACAATGCAGCAGCAAATTGGTTACCTTCAGAGACGTGTGCTCGACGGTGCAAGATACGTGTTTCTTAACTCTCTTATCTATTTAACTAACCCTAGTTTGCAGGTATCGGCGTTACAAGAGTGATTTAGGATCGCAGAATGTTCTGAATCATTCTCCGTCTCTATCGATACTTTGACTTTTGTTTTCGAAACTTGCGTTTCTCCAAACTCAGTCAAAGTGGGGGCTTCTGTAGACACCATTTGTGTCTCCCCAAAACCAAACTCGGTGATGAGTACCTTTCACGTCAAATCATAATCAAATGAAGTGAAAGTGTGGAAAGTCTAGTGTTGCGGATAGTTTTAATTTCTTTTCTTTTCTCTGTGTTTTTGAAAACCTGTTTTAAGAAAACAGCCAATCCAGTTTGGTTGGTCCATATCAAGGGTCCAATAATGGTGTAGTTGGATGGGGATTGAAAAGAGCTTTCCAACGACATATTATAAGCCCAATTCCGATGAATAATGAGGAAGTTATGGCCAAATTACTAAACTAGGCCTGGTTTGAGTCTTATATGCGGCCTAATGATCTAGAGGAGGGCCTAATATGGATTTATCATTCCTAATGCAATTAGGATTGGTTTTAGTCTTCTAAATTTTTCTAGAAGGTTCTTTTCATTCCTAATTCAATTAGCATTGATAAATTGACTTTTGTTGACTTTTTAGAGTTTTTAATCAGAATAAAAGAGTGTTTTTTAAGGAAAATACGATATTGCCCTTCTGTACGATTAAATTTTATCTGAATTAAGAAAACGCGTGAAAAAATTAATTAGCGCCTGACGACAGACATTAGCGCCTGGCGCTAATGGTCAGCGCCTAGCGCTAACTTCTTTTTTCCTCATCGAAACTCTGATTTGTTTTTCTATCCGTTTGGCTGATTTCCTCTATAAATAGCCTCCTAAAATCTCCGTTTTTCATCACCAATTCTCATCAAATTCTCAATTCTTTCTAATTCTCTTCTCTCTCGAAGCTAAAGCTTGTTCTTTCTCTCTTTTTTCTAAACCACCCTTTTTACAAACAAAATTCTGCATTCACAAGACCAAGAAACACCTAACCAAGTTCGAAGTTGCCTTTGCCCTACACGTGAAAGGTTTTAATTTCTGAGGGTTTGGTCCCAAATCTCTCTTTCAATTGTTTAATTTAATCGTTGTTTATTATTTTCCTTGAAGTTACTAACGTGTGTATTTTGTTATTAGAAAGATATATGAGGCATCCAAGTAAGTGCTTTAATTGTTTTATTGATATTATGATATAGAAATCATGTCTAGGTTGTTATTATGATTCCTAGCGTCATGTTAGGGTGTTCTGATCTTCCTAGTATCATGTTTAGAGTAACGACTTAAAAATCCTAATATCAAGTATGATTAAAAGTATGATGCCTTTTATTTATTTTTTTCCTAATAGTATCATGTTAGGATTAAAACTTTCATCTTGATTGTCATGCTAGGGTTTGTTATTAATCTTGTTAGTATCATGCCTAGGATCTTGCTATTATTATGCTTTATTTTTAACATGAACATGATTATGATAAATATGATTATATTATGGCTATTATTATGTTGCTTGATATTTATTGTTATTGCTTGATCACACCTTTTATGCATGTTTAAAGGGAATTGGTACTTGTAATCATGCTTAATAAGATAATTAATAATCTTGTTTAGGGTTAATTTGATTATAATTCAAGTGATCGCCAATAATAGATTTATTTCTGCATTAAATTCAACCAACATAGATAAACAGGTTTAGGGTAAACCTATTGATTGCATATTAGTCAGAAAGCGCACATGAATACTATCAGAATAAAGTAGAGGCCTATTATTAGGGCAGGTTCAATCTTTTTAGGTTGGATTTGTACCTTCATCCTCGAACTACCAGTCATGGTTCCAGATCTATTGGAGTTAACGATCTCATAGATCGTTAAGGGGTGTAACCTTCACCCTGTGAACGGTTTACAAGTTCCTAAGACTTGTTGGCGACTCTTTTGCTCTATCTTCTTTCCCTTTGGACGCCACCGTACTGTAGTGTATGATCACAGTGGAGTTCAAGCTAGGGGTAATGCTTGAAATATTCCCTACACAACTCCTCACACACTATGGACTAAAAATACCCCCACAATTATAGTATAATTATCAATAATAACGAATTAAGTAGTGAAATGTGATTTTTTTTCAAAGTGTATAACAATATAACAAAATGGATTTCAGCTTGTAGAGAAAAATAAATTATGAACATTTGTAATTTTTATTTTAAATATGTAAAATTGATCAAAATAGCTGTTTTAAGATTTAATTAGTGGACTCCACTAGTTACTGTAGCATTTTAATAGTGTCATGGATTTGGGTATTTCTAATTTTCCTCATGGGCATTTATTTTTTGCCCATAAGAGGGATGCATGTTTTTTGAATTTCTCCTCATGAGCATATTTTTTACCATGAGTGAGAATGCTCTTATAACAGGTTGGTGACTAGGTAGGCTATGATAAATATAAAAAAATGAAATAAAATAAAAAAATGAAAAAAAAACCCAAAATTCAAATTATTTATACTTCAAAGAAAATCAGTCAAAGCTGTGATTATTAAAACTATTTTTTTTTTCCAATTTTCATTATTTTCTAAAGTTTATCATATTCCATAGATTAAAAAATAAAGGAAAATGGTCAAGAATAATATGACCTTTCATCAATCTTCTAAAAATAAAACGACCTTTTGATTATTCCGTAATAAAATGACCTTTAACACACATCTTCCATAAATAGAACAAAAAACCGGTAACTTATATTACAGGTTACATTAGACACATGATGCGTTATAATTTGATAAAATTATTTTAACATTTTTATTTTACTAATGTTGATTTTAATTTTATAAAATACCTTAAATTATTAATTAAAAAAAATAAAATAAAATAAAAAACTGTTTTTTCTTGTTTATTAGACCCCCCTTCCTCCACCTACACAACTCCATATTCAGACGATCAGACCCCAACCCCCACCACCTCAAATCTATTTTGAATCAAACCACCTTGATCCCTACCACCTCAAAACCCCTCTGAATCAAACCATGTTTGTCCTTTCTCCCCAGACCACCTCAACACCAATACTAATCATGGTAGACTACTCCTCTTCCCGACACCCAATTTCATCCTGAAATCCCACCCAACCCTAAACCCAATTTCATCCTGAAATCCCACCCAACCCTAAACCGGAAAGTTACCCCACTCTATCAAAATCCCACTGCCATCCCATACATTGAAACCCCACGACCACCACTACATTAAAACCCCACCTCACGATTTAAATTAGGAGCTGGAGCATGCTGCTTCAATAGAGAGAGGAAGAGGAAAGGGAAGTAGAAGGGTGAGGAAGGCTCGACCAGCACGCAGTTAGGCGTTTGGGGGGGGGGGGGGAGGAGTTATTTGTGAGAGTGGGGGATGTAGCTAGTGGTGGTGGTTTTTTACAGGGGTGGTTGGGTTGTTAGCAGGATGATGGGAGGGGGGATGTTGATTTTTTTTCCTTTTGTTTTCTATTTTTATTTTTTATAAAAATCAATTGTATTTTAAAAAAAAAAAATTGTAAAAATAAAGTTAAAAAGCTAATCAATTATAATGTAACACATGTCATATTTATCCCATAAAACAGGTTACCAACCGGTTACACCCCATTTATGGAAGATCAGTGTCAAAGGTCATATTATTCTAGAATAATCAAAATGTCATTTTATTTTTGAAAGACCGGTAAAAGGTCAATTTATTCTCGACAATTTTTCCAAAAATATAAAGGCAAATAGGTAAAAAAAATAAAATAAAAAGAAAAATCAAATATCGCAAATTATAAGGTCAGGTATGTACCACTTTGCAAAGCATCTCAATCGCAAATAATGATACAGGTCTTTCAACAAATGCTAATATACAATTCATAACATGGGAAGCAGAAACTCCCGGCGTTACATAAATAATATAAATTCACTAAGGATGAAAACACAATCAAAATTTTCGGAAACTCAAGTTCACAAAGACAAGATGGACAAGGAACCAACTCTTAGTCATCTTCTTCCATTGGCACTTCTGGTATATCAAACCTGTCTTCCTGGATTGGTTCATTTATAACAGATACTGAAGAGGAATAAGTCAAGGGAGACAGGCAACTTGCATGAACAAGTGTCAGCTATTCATGAAAAAAGGACTAAATCTAGAAAAACTGCGAAATAGCCCTAATAAGTCCTTCAAAAATACATTTAATGAAACCCTAACCCTTACTATTACATTTACTGCCTACCTCCACATCTGGCATTCTCTTTGTTTTCTAGGACCTCTAAAATTAGACATAAATCTTTGTATCCATTGTCTGTTCTTATTCTCATTCAATGCAAAACACGGTTTTCCCCTCTCTCCATTCCATTTACCATATTTGAAATCAATCGTTAGAATCAAACAACACCCACTCTATTTTAAATCATTTTTCAGTCACATGTAAGAGTAACTAACACGCATAAATTTAAGAGATGTAGCAGCAGCAATCTAGCAGTGCGTTCTCTTTTTCAAATCAAATCTGTGCTCCCAGCATCCAATCTGCTAAGTCATAAATACCAAGTGTATTCAGCTAACTTTGATTAAAACAGTCATTTTGAATCAATTTACTAGGTGCCAAATAGCCCTAATAAGTCCTTCAAAAATACCCACCACTCAAGATTAGCTTGATCTAACTCCAACAAAAATAAAACAAGATTCTTGACTAACAAGTTGGGCTCTCCTAGCACTATAACATGCTATCCAGCAAACATGAGACATGTAAAAAGCATTCTTATATAGTATGCCCAATCAAGCAAAAACAAACACTACATGATTAGATTCAAAAGAGTATTGCAAAAAACTATCAATGGAAAGAAGGTAATATGTTGGCAAAAGCATAGCCACATAAAGTAGAGAAAAACCATGAACACAATATGAAGCAAAGGATACACATCATAGAATCATCTTCTTTTTCACCACGATTACGACTATTATTAAGTTCTCTAGAAATCTCAAGTGTTACCTGCAATAAACAATATAGAACACACCTCAGTCAAATAAACATACTATGATTAAACAAATCCTTACATAGGTGGGGATGCTCGTACCAAATAGTGCCTTTGGTTTTGCATTAATATATTAAGATTATCTTTATCTTCCTTTCGTAATTCATGTTTGTACCTGTTGAAAATACAAAATGCCATGACACCATTGCATTAAACAGATTTCAAATTGCTAAAGCACAAGATAGTTTTCAACATAAAACACACATTCACGCAAGACATTTTAGTACAAATAATATATTGAGGAATAAAACCTACTCCGGCAATGACGACATATTTAAGGCTTCAAGAAGCTTTACATCCTAGATAACATTTATCACAGGGTACTAAACTAGAAGCAAATGCATAATTCAATAGCATTTTGATCAAAAAGCCATAGTAACAAAATAGTACAAAATATGTCCCAGGAAAAAATTTGTCAGTCACATGGCCACATGATATTATTATCACTTTTTATAATCCCAAAAAGAATTGTACCTATGTTTGCGCAGTTATTCAAACACAAGAAAATCTTCAATACCCCCTAGAAATTCTTATACTTCATCCGTTTCATTTTAGATGCACGGAATCCTAGGCAAATTTTAGAGATGAGAGATAGAGAGAAAGAAAAAAGAGTATGGCATAGGGTGAATATATACCTGTACTAAACTAATTACAGCAAATAGCATTACTGCCCAGTGCCCACGTGTCAACTTCTCATATAAAATTTTCCAGCCAAAACTATTAATGACATCATTTGTTTTCAAAATCAATAAAGATTTGGAAATGGTAGATTAATTGTACAATTTCCTAAAAGATTTTATGACTAACTACACAATTTTCCACAAAGTTGTGGGGTGTAAAGAGAATCCTACGTATCATTGTCCAAACTGCTTTTCATAAGGCTCATAACATAAAATGTGACAACTCATAAAAAGAAAAACATAGATACAAGAACTTCATGAAGGATTGAAATCATTGTCCAATCATTGAATGTTTCATTTAGTAAGATGTCATAGAAAAAGATATTGCAAAGAAAATCAAGAATAATCAGGAATCAGAGAATACTGATACATTTGGAGGAGAATAGGAAAAAAACTTAAATAAAAAAAAACAGGGAAACATGTATGTCATTGACAGGGGATAATTACTTACCTCTGAACAAAAGAAAGAAGAGTCTGATGCCAGATCACAGGCATGACCCGTGAGTCTTCTAGAAATCCCGTGAAATGTGCAACCAAAGCATCCAACACACGATAAGGCAAAGCATACTTCTTGTCAATAAAAATCTTGATTATATAGCTGCGTTAAGGTTCCAAGTCAAATCATATATTAGAAAGATTCACAAAGTCCCAATAATTTAAGCCCTTTATTGGGTTAGGACACCAAATCTTGTTATCAAATCATAGCAAGTAACAAGAACAAAATGAAATGATTCATTCTACAAGAAACTCTTAGAAAAGAAGTAGAAAAGAGTTCCAAGTCAAATCATATATTAGAAAGATTCACAAAGTCCCAATAATTTAAGCCCTTTATTGGGTTACGACACCAAATCTTGTAATCAAATCATAGCAAGTAACAGGAACAAAATGAAATGATTCATTCTACAAGAAATTCTTAGAAAAAAAGGTATAAAAGAGTTCCAAGTAAAATCATATATTAGAAAGATTCACAAAGTCCCGATAATTTAAGCCCTTTATTGGGTTAGGACACCAAATCTTGTTATCAAATCATAGCAAGTAACAAGAACAAGATGAAATGATTCATTCTACAAGAAACTCTTACAAAAGAAGTAGAAAAGAGTAATAGTCAGAACAGATTTGTGACCAAGGTGTCTATAGTGAGCATAAGAAGGCGTTAGATATACCGCCACAACAATGTAAAAGGTCACTCAATATGGCACACTAAGTCTATAAATGTTCACCTTTTCCAAAGTTAATGTGTAAAAAGCAAATAGGGAAATATTCATTATGAAGAATTTAAAACAATGAGATTTAAGATTTATACTAGATAGATGGAAAATAAATTATAAGGCCCCTTATAAATTTACATTTCAACAGGTAGAAGGGTACATATAAGTTAATCTGCATTGCATACAGATTGCACTAGGATATGGACAAATCTTTTGGAAAGTTTTTTCTTCTATAAGAAAGTTCACCACCAACGGGGTCTAAGAATCAGATACAGCAATACGAGGGCCAACAGATTTTATCACTATATAACCCTTTACCGGTAAGAATGCTTTGTCATTTCAAATTTCATAGCAGAGAAGAACAAGAAACATAAATTGTACTTGTTATAAGGACAACAAACCTTGTCATATACTTCCTCCGTTTCTTTTTAGTTGACATGTTTCTTTAGTCATTTTTGCCAATGCACACCTTTAATCGTTAATATCTTTAATTATTGAAAAGTAAAAATTATAAAAAGTTGATATTTTGAAAATCTATTCCGCGACGAATCTTACAAGACCCCACATGATTATATTTTTCATTAATTATAAAGCACAAAACACGGTCAAAGAGAGGTGTGTGAATAGTGCTAAGGTCAAAATATGTCAACTTAAAAAAAAACAGAGGTAGTATATATAGATTCTTTTTTCTAGAAGAGTGAAAAATCGGTGGATAAAATAAGAAATTAGGTAAATAGACGGGTGGGTGGGTATTAGGAAAAGGTGGATTAAGTAAGTAAAAGAGAGTTGAAAAAGAGTTAGCATTGTAAGATAAAGCATAGAGTAGAAACCAAAACATTAAGACGGATTTTACCTGGTAGTCCCACAGTAATCCATCTCAGCTAGCCTCAACAACGCAACACTGCATATTTATAGGATTACATGTTATATAAAAAGCTACAACCTCATATGCACAGTAAACAAGAGATATACATTAAATCTAGCAGCAAGCACACACATGCATAAAGTATTTGAATGACACAATATATACAGGTTTTTTTTTTTTTAAGGCAAAAAAACAAGGTCTTCCAATTTTTTGAGAATGCAAGTCCAGGATCGATTACAAGTTTTACAGTTCCAGTCTCCACAGAACATCAAAGGTAAAATTTACAAGGCATTATTTAACTTAAAAGGCATTCTTCAATTTTAGAACCACAATTTGGGGTCTAAGGTATTGTGCACAAAGCTGAAAATGCTCACAATGCCAAACACTAATTATCCTAGCAAAATCTAAGTAAAAAAAATCAGCACGTCTAATTTCATTCAAATCTATCCATGACTCTCACAGTTGGAAGCTTGTACAGCTAATACATAAAAAGTTAAAAAGCTTCTTGTAGATGTACATGTTCTCTTTTTGTTACCTTCGCCCTCCCCTTTTCTTTACACCCTCTAAATTCATATTAAGGCCCAAAGCATGACATAATATTTGAAGATCCAAGAGTAAAGAACAGGTCAATGAGTAGCATAATTTTCAACAGGTTTTTAGAAAGTGGCTTGGCAATGGTAGCATCTTTTGACACATTTGAACCAGTGCCAGTAAAGCAAGTATAACTATAGAATTGACATAGAATTCATACACATAATATCGAATCTTTTGTAAAATAAAAATAAATAAATAAATAAGATTGATATTTTTCAAATTCAACACAACTTAATTCACAAATTCACTAAATTAGCATTTCCTAAAGTTCATTGACTTACATCCTAACTAGGGGCAGATACCAAGGTGTACAAGAAGTGGTGAACAAAGGGGAAAAGGAAACAATAACAACAAGAAGTTGATTATGTCAAAAAAAAAAAAAAAAAAAAAAAAAAAAAAAGTGCTTAAATATGTTGTTATTTGAGTCAATCAAAAGTTCATGATATCAACTCCTTTGTACTACGGCACTTCTCATTTCATGATTTCCAATGCATTATTTTAATTACTTATATCCCCTACTCCCTCTGTTTTCCTAAAACCTACTCACTTTCTGTTCTCATCTATTTTTCTAAGTTCTAATCAATATTACTCTACTACTTTTAACGTTTTTTTTTTTTTTTTTTTTTTTATCATCTACAATCCCACTTTGTGGAGGCAAGTTAAAATAAATAACACCTTACTCTCCATCTCTCCCCACTTTAAATCAAATGTAGTCACATGCAAGTGAAGGGAGTATTATCAATAAGTAAAAAATATAAAAATTTGATAATAAAGGAATAAACTACGGCGAATCTAACAAAATATTACGTGAGTATTGTTTTTCTAAAGAAAATTTGAAAAATACTGCCAAAAATTATAATCATTTTGCTAAAAACCACCAACAATTTTTTTTTTTTTTTTTTACTTTACTACCAACAATTCTTCAAAACCTAAAAAACTATCACCTCTTTTCCAAAATCCACCTAAATAACGTCACTGTGGGCCCAACTAACTACCTTCCCCTTAAGTTCCCCAATCCAATGAATGTTGATAATTACACAAAATTTAACATTAAAAAACACTTAATTAATAAACCCCTAATCAACACAAAACCCACTACGCCAAATCACATCAAAGTACTAAACTTTACAATTCAATGCACTAATTTAACATTAAAAAACCCCTAATTAACAAATAATTAAACAAAATTGGAAAATTGCAATAATTCAGCACAATTATAAACTAAGTGCATGTATTAACGTTGTACGAATTCTAGGGTTTACCACAATCAACCCCGATTTTCAACACCAAAATCTAAACCTTGGTCCCCCAACTCCAATACATCTGATTTGGCTCCCCCCCTCTGCGCTTTTTCATAGAGAAAAATACCAAAAAAAAAACCCTAATTTTAGAAAGAAAGAGGAGAGAGAGAGAAAGAGGAGTGATGAATGCAGGGCTTAACATTCAATTTTGGTGAGTGAGAATTCAAGTGTTAAATAAGAGAGGGAAGTAATGGGGAGAATAGGGAAGAATATCGTGAGAAGAGAAGGAAGTGATGGGGAGAACATGGGAGAATATCGTGAGAAGAGAGAGGGAAAAGGAGGGAAATTAAGGAGAAGGTAGTTGGTGGGGCCACAGTGGCGTCATGTAGGAAGGTTTGTGAAAAGAGGTGGCAGTTTTTTGGTTTGAAGAATTGTTGGTGGTGAAGTAAAATAAATAAATAAAATAAAAAATTTGTTGGTGGGTATTAATAAAATGAGTATAATTGTTGGTGGAATTTTTCAAATTTTATTTTTTTTCTAAAGGAGAACTAATTAAATATAGTCAAAGTAGCATATGAGAATATAATCTTAAAATCAAAGTGTTGCAAGTAAAAAAAGTAAAAAACTAGGAAGTATAAGATTAAACAAGTCAAACAAACTGATAGTTAAAATTTATTTTTCCCTATAAGAGTATAAATAATTCCATTTCGTATCCTTATGTTCACTACAAAGATAATATTGTCCATGTATAATCATTTCAAAAGGTGCCAATTCACAATGAGCTCATTTTCTTTTCATGCTATACAAAATGATAAATTTTAAAAACTTGGTGTGGCAATTGCCACCCCAAATCAAAACATAAATCTGCCTTTGATGTTCTTATCTTACATGAACTCAATTACAATTATCAAAGATAGATTTATATCCCCAAGTGCAAAAGTTATCCGTTTAGCAAATCATGAATAATTTGCCTTTACTTAAGTGCCAAATGCCTATAACCAAAAATAATTTTACCACGTAAGAATTTCGCATACTCATGCTAATATGGATGCACAAGTCTAGTACTTAGACTACAATTTAGCTGAAAATTCCCAAAGCCTTTGAAGTCCATAATGGTGGTACATATGCATTAGCAAGATCAAATATGGAAGAAATGCAGTTGTTGTTCAATAAGGATATTTGAATACAAATTTAAGACATGGAAATTTCCATGAACAATCAGATGAGTGAAGACCACCAATTCTCCAGAAATTATTCATGAAAACAGCACTCCTGTTTATTGCTTGGGAGAAGACTCATGTATATGAACCCAAGTATATACGAGATAGACTGTACAGAAAGATATGTTGGTAGATTGCCAAATGCAGAAAGTCCTCTTCTTTCTCCAACCATAACCACCACGTTATAACAAGCATAAAATCTAACTGCGACAAACCCACAATATCTTCCACCCAAATTGCTATCGCATCTCATACATGAAACTTATAGTTGATCCAAATGGTGGCTGAACACACTAAAACATCCTAACTACACATAAACTGAATGCATGAAAAGAGAGGTTGGCTTACAATGCTAAATAATATGAGATGCCTAGAAACTAAAAATCTATTTGGATAGAAGGCAGCAATTAGCAATTTAGCATAACTTAGAGGGATTGTAGCTTCCTCAAATAGCAACTCTTTATGTATCTCAAGAAATTTCTATCCAGAATTATCAATTTCAAACTTAAGAGAATTCACTAATTACAAATAATCTAAAAAACAAAAAATTACCTTTTTGTTTTTGGCAGTGAAGAGTGAGCAAAAAAGGCCTATACAAAAGTTGATGATTGGCATCACACGCAAAAGACTTAAATTCATACAAGGTCCAAAATAATCACAGATTGTTAAAATTTCCTAGCTCTCTTGTCCAGTTTTTAATTTTACTTTATATTTTCACCCTCTTTTTCTATTAAATATTTAATAATGTGAATGTCTGAAAATATAGTCAGGAAGTAGGAATCACAGGCAGTGTGGTAACCAAATAAAAAACCCATCAATCATCACAGGTAAATAAGTTCATCTGAGAAGCTGTCAGTAATGTGCAGCATAAGCACAGAATCAAATCGCTAAAAAATATCAATTAAAAAAGGAAGATGAGCACGTCTTTGACTCTTTGTACGTAGGTATTTACAACACAATATGAATACTCAAACAAGAAACTACTGAAAGATAAAGAAAACATGCAACTTCCATGGACAAAAGATATTACATTTACCTCGAATGAGCAGGAGGGATAGACATTTTTTGGATCACACTACCTATGATGACTGCTTCCCGAAGATTGCAATTTCCCGACTGTGTGAACATGACCAAAAAAAAATGCTTTTAGAGCAGCAGGAAAAAAGCATAGTATGCAGAATTAACCTAGCTACATGAACTTCTGAAGAAGTAAAGAGCATAGATAGCAATGGCAGCATGCATAGCTTAATCATGGGCTAAAATACCTTAAAAAGGGGGAACAATATCCCTTTATTGAAAGCAGCTGGTTTGTACAGAGCTTTTTTCAAAGTTTGATATAACTCAAAATGCAATCTTTTATGTTTTCTGATGTCTTCCCGAACTCGCGGAAGAAGCACAAGCTTGTAAAATCTTTCCGCCCTCATTCGATTCATGTTGGAAGCAAATATTCTAGTAGCCTGGTATACCGCAGCAGGTGACCATTTTTCAGGTTCAGTTAAATGTAGAATCTCCTCCCAGCACTTCACAGAAGGGATATGTTTAAATCCTTTTGGTAATCTTCCTGCAGTATAAGTGCTTAAAACCTTCCCCATCCTATTCAACAATTGACATGAGCATGTTAATTTCAAAAATGACAATTAATAAATGAAAAAAGAAGAGCAAAGTATTCAACAAGGCAGGATACATACGTCTTGTAATGCTCTATAACCTTGTTATCTAATTTGTCCATCGGTTTCCCTCCTATCAAAACATCACATAGAGGTCAGACACAAATAAATAAAAAATTATGATTAAGGCAAATATCACAGTAACCAACTAAATCTTCATATGCTAAAAAATAAAAAAAATAAAAATAAAATTTACCAGAGGTCACAGCAGCATCTTGTTCTTTGATGCGAGCAGCAATAACATCCGCGAGTGTGCGCTGTGGACCAGCATCTTTGGACAAAAAGGCATCCAACAATCTCTCATCCTCTTCATTAATTTGATCCTGTTTATTCAAAGACAAATTAGATAATTCTTAACTTCAACACATTCAACTATTACACAAAGATACTTCAAGGGTGAATTAGATTTTACACGGTCGTTACAATTGCTATTTCTACGAAATACATAAACGGCTAAACTAGCTCGAATGCAAAGGTTGATCACTTCAGTTCATTGCATTATAATTGCTAAACATAAAATCAATTCTAATTATACATAAAACACAGCCATAATTGCTAAACACAAAATCGCAAAATCTCGAAAATTTTTGAATTTTATAACTCGAAAAATCAATAATAAAATTCTAATAAAAAAGAGAAATTTAGACCTCGTAATCATTAATCTGGGAGTGGGTCTCGGCAAACCCGGCAAAGTCATCAAAATCTTCCTCAACTTCATCCTCGTTATGAAGAACAGCAGAAAAGGAGGGAATATTAAGGTTTTGATCATCATTCTCCTCATCAACTATTTCCTTCTGCTGCTTATACGCTTCCTTAAGAATTTTATCACTCATATTGTTGGAAATCATCTGCAAATTTCACAAACAAAATCAAAAACAAAAACCAACATCATCCATACAAAAATTGAAGTAAATTCAAAAAATATAACATCAAAATTTTCAGAGAAAAATTGTAAAAAAAAAATATGCCTGTTCTTGCTGTTGGTGGCGTTTGGAAGGTTTAGAGCGGTTTTTAGAAACGACGGTGGGTTGGTCAGCTAGGAAAGGCTGAGAATTAACCATTCTCTCTCTACCTCTCTTGTTCCCCATTGTTAGCGTCAAGGTTGCCGGAGAGGGAGGAGTGCGCCGCAGCCGGTGGAGTGGTCTGCGGCCGAAGGAGGCGAGGAGAGCAGAGGGAAAGAGGAGGAATAAAAAACCTAAGTGACGAGAGACTGAATTTTTATTTAAGAAATTTTGAGTAGAACTCCTAGTGATTCACTTATTTGTGAAAACTACCTACTCCTTTCGTGTTTTTTAAGTGTTATACTTTTTTTTTTTAATAAAAAACTACATTAAAATATTATACCACTACTACTTTTTTATTATATTTCTCCTCTTACATTCATTACTTTTCAATAAAATATTAGCTAGGCTTGTACAAAAATATCCAAAAATTCGAAAATTCGATAATCCGATCCGCAATTGATCCGAATTTTTGGATAACCGATCCGAGTTTTCATTTCGAATCGGATATCCAATCCGAAAAATTGAAAATCGGATGCGAATTCAGATATTGATTTTCAAAATTTGATATCTAATATCGGTTCAAATCGATATCCGAAATATATAGGAGTATACGAAGTATAATGAAGTACTAGTATATAGGAGTTTTTTTTTTTTTACCAAAAAGGATTTTTTTTTTTCTCTCTTTAGAAATAGGGAGGTTCTCACTCTAGAAATAGAGTTTACCCCTCAAGGGTTTTTACCACGGTGGTTCCTAAGAAATCTTTGTCTTGGTTTACACCCACATTATCTCCATTAAATCTTTGGGTCAGTTGTGCCTAAGGGGTAATTACCGCCCTACTACTCCCTGTCAAGCCACTTGGCAAATCTCCTTGGCGCCTTTACAAAAGGCCAATAGCTTTTCTCTTCTGTAATCATTCCTTTTGCTAACAAAATTAACCTTTCGTTAACTGCTGTTAGAGGCCTCTCAACTCCGTTTTACTCTTACCTCCATCCTGTTTCTTTGCTGAGTAACGGTGAGTGCATTTAACCTTGTTAGATTAAACGGTCGTTTGGGTGGCTAATTCCACCAATTACTCGCAACAGTATTTTGCATTATCCAAAGCTAATCTGCATGCCTCTGTCACCCTTAATGAGACAGAATTTGAAACGCCTCCTTGGCATGGTGGTTAGTATAAATTACAGCTCCTATATCACAACCACATCACAGCTCTCTTCTTACTCTTTTTACACTCTTCTGGCTATTCCTTGCACTCCGATACTCCACTAAATCTCTAAACATGAGTGACAGAAACCACTACACTAGAAACATCAATATGGCAGCAGCCTTAGCCGAAATAGAACCTTACAGAATAAGTGGTAGCAGGGCCTTTTGGCAAAAATGCGTGTATGGATATCTAATGGATTACCGTACTTTGAGCCCCAATACCATTCGAGATTTCATAAATCAAAGATGGAGAACAAGGGGTTACATTGAAGTCTTTAAAATGAATGATCTATATGTCTTTAAATGTACAAATGATGAGGATAGACAAGACCTCTTGTACAAGACAAAAGCGTGTTTTGATGGCGCATTGATGGTGTTCGCGCCATGGTGGCCCAACCAAGTGCCACACACAGTTCGCTTTAAAAAGGCTAAATTTTGGGTTAGAATTTGTGGGCTTCCATGTGAATACCTCAACTCCCACATGGCAGAAACTGTTGGAGAATTGCTGGGAATGCCTTTCCAAATAGATTTCGAGCCTCAATTCGTGCCAAGGAACGACTACTTAAGGATTGAAGTCTTGCTCAACCTCGGGGAACCCTTAGTCCCTGGGTTCTTTCTCAAACTAGATGACTGACGCAGTCATTTGGATCCAGTTGAGGTATGAAAATCTCTTTAAATATTGCGTTAGATGTGGTAGAATTGGTCATAAACTCACTAGGTGTAGGAGACATGAAGATCTCATCCAACAAGACGTTAACCACAAATTAATGCAATATCAATCAAGGGGTATTCCTACCCTTGAAACAGACGAAGGCTTTTCCAAGTTTAATTTAGACATGCGAGCCACTCCAGCATCAGAACGCACCATAACTCCTAGGGAGCAATTTGGAGAAGACCCTAATCACCCCCCATCCCCTAATTTTAGAGCTTCAGATATAATGGTCGATTTCGACCTTGGAGTTCAGAATGGGGGACGGACAGTCAGACCTGGGGAGAGGTTTAGTGGCGGCGGTGTTCCTTTCAGGGGCCCAGTAGGAAATTATGATGGCACACCATCACAAAACAACCAGACAGGGGTTGATATGGAAGTTGAGGAACAGGGCATTGCTCAGGATCCTGTGGTGGCAGCCGCACAGATAGAGGCAGGGGGGAAGGTAGAGGCCACGACCAGAATAGTGCTCCTGGTGGTGACCCTTACAGAAGCGCAACATCTACAGCCCCGATCCAAGGCGACAACTCGGATCCGAATCAGAACAGGGGAGTCACTAGAACTATTCCAAGGTATGGATCGGACATTGAAAGTCTTAGATTCGATGTCCTCATGAGCTCAGCAATCTAATCTAGGGTTGAATTAAATGATGATATTGCGGGGAGAAGAATCGATGGCGCCGGCTTTAACCAACGATTCTTCATAGAATTCGACTCCCACAATCAACCCAGGGCAGTTAAGATTAGGGAACCGGATTCTCCTGTTCACGACCCAATGGATTATCAAGGAGAGGATAACACAGATTTTATCCCGATTGGGCAAGTACCTGAAGACCCTATGAGCCCGTGGTTGGGTGAGCAACAAATCGACCACGAGGAAGACGACTTGCCGGAAGAAAACAACATGGAAGCAATTGCAAACACTTAGGCCCAGCCAAATCAAGAATTGAACAACTTACTGTTGAAATTAGGGGAAACAAGGAAGTGGAAGTGCTTCAAACATCGGAAACAATGTCGGACAGTGCTCTTATTTTCACCAGATGGGGTGAAAGAGATCGAAGGGGAAGGAAAGAAAAAAGCAGAAGGTTCAAGAAAGGGAAAAGTAAGAGAAGATTTAAGCAAGGAAATTGCCCACTGAAACGCAAGGCAATTTCAGATCTCGATCTAGTCTCGCTCCAATTTATAGAGGAGGAGGAGGATGACGCTGACTCCCATATGGCAAGGAAAAAGAAAAAAGGGAAATGCATCACCGTTGAAGGGAACAACGCTGGAGAGGGACCAACAAACTCAGCAAGATTTGGGCCTGGGCCAGAATTGAAGTTTACTTTCGAAGCTAACATTGTTTTGTCTTACACAGGAGACGGGCTTGCGGTGGTTGACCCAATTCAACCACCTCTAGCACAGTGATCGGCCTAATTTGGAATTGTCGGGGGATTAAAAACCCAACTATCCCGATTATTCCCATTTTGAAAAGACTTGTTGGGTCTTTTGATCCGGATTTCATATTTTTATCGGAAACCAAAAGTAATTCGGATGTAGTCTTTAATCGTCTTAGAAGTCTAGGTTTTAACTTCTATAAAGGTGTCAACCCTATGGGTCTTAGTGGTGGGTTGTGGCTAGGTTGGAAAAATAACTCTTTATTTGATGTAGTTTTTGTTTGTGTCAACTTCATTGTTGTAGATGTCAACGATATTATTAATGGAAAATGGAGGTTGATTTTGGTGTACGGGGAACCTAGTACCACTCAAAGGGGGGAGGTTTGGGATTGTCTCAATAAATGGACCAATCCAAACATTAATTTGCCAATCACTTTAGTAGGTGATTTCAACCAAGTAGACACACATTTAGACAAATCCGGGGAAAATATATCTCCCATAAGAGGTGCAAATTTATTCAATGAATGGAAAGCCTCAAATCATTTACATGATATTATTTATGAGGGACCTAAGTTCACTTGGTCTAATGGGAGAGAGGGAAACGAGCTAGTTTTAGAACGTTTAGACAAGGATTACGCTAATCCTTGTTGGCTAAATAAATTCCCTCACGCCCACATCATACACAAGCCCATCCGAATCTCAGATCATGACCCAATCCTTTTTAATACGGAACACCCAAAAAAGAAAAAACAGAGCAACTACAAGCTAGAACAGTGGAGCCTTAATTATAGTGAATGCGTAGAAGCAGCTCAAAGGGGATGGCAGGCGAATCAGAGTGGATCCCCGATGTTCAAATTAATGCGACGAACTCAGCAGGCAAAGAAGGAGATCAAGAGATGGACTCTTGATAAAAGGGAAGAATGGAACGGAACCTGAGATAAATTTGAAAAAGACCTCTTAGAGGCCTAATTAATTATGGAAGACGAAGGTAATGCTGAGGAATTCAAGGAAATCAACAAAAAATTGGAAGAATACTCTTCGAATCTCGCGGGTTATTGGAGGCAAAGAGCAAAAATTAACTGGAATTACGCAGGTGACACATGTTCAGATTTTTTTTCAACTACGTCAAAGGAAGAAAGGTGAGAAACAAGATCGAGGCAATCAGGGGGGAGGAGGGCGAATGGATTTCTGAAGAGCATGAAATCGCGGGGTTAGCAGCAAATTACTTCAAGAACATTTTCGGGGGAAGCGAAACCTCCATTAATGATAATAGGGAGCACGAAATCGATCAGGGTGTTAAGGGTATAACAAGGAAGCTTACCGAGGAACAGAGAAACATGCTTTCCAAACCATATTCAAGGAAGGAGATCAAAAATGCTCTCTTTGCTATGAAACCGTGGAAAGCGCCGGGTCCGGATGGGATTCCAGCAGGTTTTTACAAAAAAAAATTAGAACTGAATTCAAAATGATATTATAGATGCGGTACAATCGGCTCTAAGATTAGGTAACATCTTAAGAGAATTAAATTGCACAAACATTGCTTTAATTCCAAAATGCGACAACCCAGAAACCATGGATAAATTTAGGCCGATTGGATTGTGTAATGTCAGTTATAAAATCATCTCAAAATGCATTACAAATAGATTAAGGAAAGTGATCAGTGATTTAGTTGGTCAGTTTCAAAACGCTTTCATTCCTGGTAGGACTGTTTCTGACAACATCCTGATTGCACACGAGTTGTTAGAAAAAATTAGGAAAACAAAGAAAGGCGTTAGAGGAAAACTTGCCATTAAAACAGATATGAGTAAAGCTTATGACCGAATTAAATGGGATTTTCTAGAAAAAGTGCTTTACAAGTTTGGCTTGCCTAATCTGATGATAAAAACAATCATGAACTGTGTTAGCTCGACTTCCTTCTCTGTGATCATTAATGGTTCTATAGGGGAAAGATTTGCCCCTAGATGTGGATTATGACAAGGAGATCCCCTTTCCTCGTATTTGTTTATCCTATGTATGGAAGGCTTGTCGGGGTTAATTGGGTCAGAGGAAAGTATTGGCAACATTGTAGGTGTCAGTGTGGCCTAGAGAGCTCTAAAAATTAGTCATCTTTTCTTTGCAGATGATTCGGTTTTCTTTGTTCAGAGCAAGGAAAAGTGTGTGAAAAATTTGAGCAAGGTACTGGATATCTATTGCAAAGCCTCAGGTCAGATTATAAACCAAGAAAAATCAGTTCTCCTCTCTAGTCCAAATTTAGAGGATAACACCATCACCAAATTCAGTGAGCTCCTTGGTATCCAAAAAAGAAATAACTTTGGGATCTATCTAGGCATCCTTGCTGACTTTGGGAACTCGAAGCAACAGATTTTTGGTACACTAATTGACAGGGTAAAAGAAAGATTAACTGCGTGGAATGCTCTCTTCCTCTCCTATGCTGGTAGGTTAACCTTAATCAAATCAGTCCTCTCCAGCCTAGGAACCTATGTCCTTTCAGCTTTTAAATGCCCAATTAACATTTTGAAGAAAATCAACAGCATTGTGGTTAGGTTTTGGTGGCTGGGAAATAAAATTGGCAAAGGGGTTTATTGGAGGAAATGGTCTCTTCTAACCCAAGAAAAGGAGAAAGGAGGTCTAGGAATTTTAGATGCTCGTTTCTTCAACCAAGCACTACTTGCTAAGCAAGGATGGCGTATTATAAATAATTTGAGTCCTTGATCAGTAGGGTGCTTGGGTCAAAATATGGAGTCAACTAAGAAACTTTTTTTGAAGGGTCCTGGGAAAAAAGACAAGCTGGTTCTTGGGGCTAGAACGGTGTTGAGTGGGGTTTACAGGTTCTGAAAGATGGGTGTGTGTGTGGTCCTTAAGTGATGGGTGTTGTGCTAAAATTCACCATCCTTGGGTAAATGCTACCACACCAGAATGGAAGAACCAAGGAACTCTCATAAAGGAAACGGTTGCTAGCCTAAAAAAAGATGGAAGGTGGGATATGACCAAATGCAATACCTTGTTTACTGAGGACACAATCAGAAAGATTGAAAAAATTGTTCTAATGGAGACAGGCACAACTGATCTGGTTACTTGGAAAGCAAACAAAAATGGTATGTATACAGTCAAGAGTGGTAACAGATTCCTTTTTGATGCATATTACAGCATGGATAATGCCTCAACTTCGAGGAACTCTAACACCTTCAAATGGAGAAGATTCTGGAAGCTTCCCGGGACTTTGAAACAAAAAACTTTTATTTGGAAGATTTTGAACAGAGCCCTTCCTGTTGGTAGTGAAAGGAAAAAAAGGGGTTTGGGAGATAGTCACCATTGCGTTCTCTGCTGGGATGAGAAAAATCAACATAATGCCCACCTAGAGACGCTCGAACATTTTTTTAGGGACTGCAGTTTTGCCAGCCACGTATGGAATGGATGCAACCTAGGTCTCAAAGTAGCATCCCAGAACAATATTCCAATTTCAGAATGGATTGAGAACTGGCAACGAGTGCTTAATTGTGCAGGCAAAGGATTGGAAAATAGTTATCATATTTTTATTGCAGGTTTGGAGTCCATCTGGGAAGCCAGGAATGATGCAATCTTCAGAAGCTCAGGCATAAACCCGTGGGGAACTATTAAGAAAATAGAGCATAAGGTGACTGTGGCTCTTAGGAAGTCGGACTTGGAGGATGCTAGAGCTGCCAAGGATCAACACCAAGTTCAACATCAACTCCAGGGTCAGCATAAAGAACAGGACAATGATCAGCCTCCGGGGTTTGGTACCAGTTACATTGGGGATGTACAGGACCAGCACGATCACTCCTTGATCACTGGCACAGGCGTATGCAGAACCTCAAGACTTATGATACAGAAAGAGAATTTCACAGGTGGTAGGAAGAGGTGGGCCTGGAACTTGAAGAATGCTGATCAAAACCTTGTGCAGTGCCAGGAGATTATCTCACAGGATGATAATTCCTTGAGCTTGCTACGAGCTATCTACAGTGGAATGCAAGCTGCTCTTAACTGCCACATCTGGCATCTGCAGGTGAGCTGTCAAGACACAAGAGTTGTGCATTGGCTGCAGGGGATACACTCAGAATTGCAGGAAGTGAGGATGTGGATCAAAAAGATTAACAGTTTACTGCCCCTATTTCATTGTTTATCTAGTGTTTCTTATTCTGGGGATTAATTCCCTTTGTTCCAGCTGTCAAAAAAAAAAAAAGTATGTTTTCTTTAACAAAAGTTCTTAATGTTCCTAGCTAATAAAACATTTCAACCCTTCTGCTCACTCAAAACTTTTCTTAAAACCCCTTATGTGAATAAAGTCCTTTCTCTCTCTTCAAGTTGGCCGCCACCCTTCAGACGCTCATAGTCTCACACCTTACACCCTCACAGCCCCCGCTCCGGCACTCACATTCTCACACCGCCCCAGATCTTCTTTTTCGTTGGCCTAATTTTTAATTTT